CTTCATTTACTTTCTGATCACCTGACTCTTGCTACAGTGGGTTATACCTGCGTTAGTGTATTTTACTTTCTTGTGTCGTGTGTAGTCACTTCTTTTGTAGGGAGTCATATACGAATGATCGCTAACACAATCCTCTAATTTTAAGTTTCATCAGACCTGACTCCAGTAGTTTCCGTGCTTTATTAGTTTTAATTTTAGTTTACTGTTAGTTTTTGTTACGCGGTTAACAAAGCTTAAAACTTTGTACCTTTTGTTGCGTTACAACGACTACCTCGATGCGATAAACGCCGTGTACAGACGGCGTCATTAATTCAAAGAATAGGCGCGGGGATCACATAAAAAGTCTAGTTGATCCAAATATCCATTAGTCCCAAAATCGGGTGTCCAGTTATAGACACCCGATTGCTACTAGTTAGTTAGTACGGCGCCCGTTGGCGCTACGAGCAACCGCCCCGCTTGCTCTCCGATCTCCGCGCCTATTCTTCGAATTAATGACGCCGTCTGTACAAACCTTTAGTTTTAAGGCGCGTTTCAGGAGAGTGCCCTTTACACACTACTCCTTCGTGTTGCTACCCATTTGCTGTAATCACTTGGTTCTTTGTATGTGATATGTACTAAGCCTAATAGGAGCAATTCCTGGGGCATCTTTTTTACCTTAATAAAAAAAATATATATATATATAAAGCATTATATGGCTTCGTCGTTGACGCGCAATTACGCCTATGATCTTTTCTTGTCTTTCCTTTACTTCTGCTCAGGCAAATCCAGGCACGGCTTTTCTCTCTTTCACTTTCCTTCATTGGCTGATTGCCTTCTTGCACGCACAATCATTTGCGGTTTCTCTATTGCATCATAGTTCCCCACATTTTCTAACATATCTCATCTCTATCGGTTCCTTCATCCGCAGAATGGCGTATGGGTATCTAGCATATATGTAATACTCCTATATTCAGGGATGCCAGATTCCGGCCGCTTGGTAGCATGCGGTAGCATGGAGGGGATGCGCACACAGCTTCATGTCACGGCTCGAAGCTGTGTGCGCATCCCCTCCATGCTACCGCATGCTACCAAGCGGCCGGAATCTGGCATCCCTGCCTATATTGCTAGTCGCGTATTTTCGCAATGAGAGGCACGAGGCCCGAGAAAGGGAGACGCACGAAGTCCAAATATGGGCATAGATGGTCGAGCGTCATTATGCGCAGGCGCATCTATCAAGTGAGTGCGAGCGAGACAAAACATTGGAAAGTGAGAGAAAGAACGCGAGAAAGAGAAATGCGCAAGCGTGCTTGAATGTTCACCGCATGCGCACAAAGCAGCTGGAGAGAGAGGCTACTATATTGTCTGCACCGTAACGGTGAGCTTCAGGTCGGCACCGTACTAGCAATATAGGAGTATTACATATATGGTATCTAGGGCCCTCTAGCCATCATCACACCGAACCGAACCGAACCCAAATGTTACGCTGCAGACAATATAGTAGCCTCTCTCTCGCGCAAGGTCCAGCTGCTTTGTGCGCATGCGGTGAACATTCAAGCGCGCTTGGGCATTTCTCTTTCTCGCGTTCTTTCTCACTTTCCAATGCTTTGTTTCGCTCGCACTCGCTTAGTAGACGCGCCTGCGCATAATGACGCTCGACTATCTATGCCCATATTTGGACTTCGTGCGTCTCTCTTTTTCGGGCCTCGTGCCTCTCATTGCGAAGATACGCGACTAGCAATATAGAAGTATTATATATATACTTGCCCTCCGATCTTCGCACCACTTTGCGAATTTTTGACGCTGTTTGTGGGTGCGTTTACTTTAGACCCGGTTTCACAATTCGNGGTTAACTCGAATTAACCGAAGTTCGACTTGCTGAGCTCGGTTTAACGCGTTCAATCTTCTTTGTCAAATCTTTGCTAACCAATCACAGTTCATGTTTAGGAAGAAAAGATGCGTTACGCCGAGTTCAGCAAGTTGGGCTTCCGTTAATTCGAGTTAACCGTCAATTGTGAAACCGGGCCTTAGACGCTTACGCGCTTTAAACGTCAGTATGGGTGCTTTCCAACTACGTACACAGGCGACACTGTGTAACACAGTGTCCACTAGTGTGAGTGAGACACACTAATATGCTCTTTCTCACACTAATGGACACTGTGTTACACAGTGTCGCCTGTACGTAGTTGGAAAGCACCCTATGTTTTTATTGGGTGCGTTCAGACAACTCAACAGTTGTACAACGATTGAGAGATAATCACTTCTGATTGGATCATACTTTTGGAACCGCTGCAGATTGTGACCGGAGCTGCACTCTTAGGTGTCCGGCCTAACCCTTTTATTATAATTTTCACCTTTTTTACTTTTTATTTTCACGGTCGCCAGCCGGGTTTTCTATACTCCCGACAAGATTTGTTTATTAACACGCATTTACTTACAGGTTTTCCCGGGTTTTCCCTGATTCGGACCTCCACGCGGAACGTATCACCTTTTCGCCTGTCTCCGCTTGGTATTTCGCCGTCCTTGCCGTCGAATAAGCGGCTCGATTTGTTTCGGCACTTACCTGGTCATTGGCAAGAATACGTGTTACCTCGATGGCCCCTCCAATCCGAGCAGAGTCCCGGTTATCCAGTTTGGAATGTGCCCAATAGCACGTCTCTTCGCACTTGATGGTTCTATTGCTATCCTGGTCTGGTTTCCTAAAGCCTCCCCTTGATTATCCAC